TTTAAAGTCATCACGCTCGGCTTTAGTCATTTCCAGACTTAACAAATGATAGAGAGAATAATCACCAGATTGATCAATGATGAAAATAATAATGTGCCAAACTTGTTTGTTTACAACTTCATTACCAATAACAGGCCTCATTATGTATTTATGGATAAAAGCTTTTCATCAGCAAACAGAACTTCATACTGTTGCTCTGTCTTTCATAACTGGCTGATTTACATCTCAATTGGTTCAAACTTTCCTTTGTAGTCTTGTCACAGAATTTGGTGACTGAATTTATATCCAAGCATCTGTTGGTTTGTGTGTTTGTTTCTCTGCAGCCGTGTGTGTGTGGGAGATAATGAGTCGCGGGCAGCAGCCGTTTTTCTGGCTGGAGAACAGAGACGTGATCAACCAACTGGAGCAGGGCATCAGGCTGCCCAAACCCGAGAACTGCCCCCCTGCCCTCTACTCACTCATGACCCGCTGCTGGTCCTACGACCCCGGAGAGAGACCCAGCTTCACCGAGCTGGTCGTCAAGATCAGGTTCGTCTGCGGTCGGTTTGACAAAGTGACTGAGTGCATGGAAACTAGCCCCAGATATTGAAGGTAGTTGGTTTCAGTGACATTGGGTCACAGTGTGATTTTGTGACTTACTGATTGTTCTCATTAGTGACGTGTGAAGAAATAACCCAGAGCACTTTTTTTTTATTAAGTTGCAGGGCCACCATATAAAAGCTTCACTAAGATGCAGATGAGATGTTAATGCACTTTTTATACAATTACTTTCTCAGTTTGTCTAAAATAAGTCAAGTTAGGTCCATTGAACACTAGTTTTTAAACCGTAATGATTAATATGAGATGTTCTATAGATCAAAAAGTAATATTGAAGCTAATAAGTGTTTTGCGGTTCCATCCCGGGCTCTTCCAGTCTGCATTTGAAAGTGTCCTTAGCCAAGATGCTGAACAGTGTATGAATGTTGTCTGATATAAAAAGTGCAGTGTATAGAAGTGCTGTATTAATGTGTGTGTGAATGCGACTTTTCCTGTAAAGTGATTTAAGTGGTTAATATGACTGGAAAGGTTCTAAACACGGTCCATTCACCATTTGTAATGTATTAATATGTCAAATTAAAAATCAGCAGTGCCATGAATTCAGTCTATCCATTTGAAGTTAATTAATCCAGCAGGTTGTGACCTGATAAAACAGCCCTCAGTGTTTCTGCTGCTCTGAACTGTTTTCTCCGATCTGTCAGTGATGTCCACAAGATGGTGAAGGAGCAGGAAGTGGAGAGAGAGAGGGAACGAGCGCGCTCCACAAAATATTTTGACCCTAAGTTCATGTTAAATGAGCCTCCACCCAAGGTATGAAACTGTGTCCAATGCAGACACTGTTATAATAACAACTGTATTTATACAGCACTTTTCTTAACAACATTACAAGAAGAAATAAAACTCTCAAAAAGTGACAGAATGACCCACAATACAAATTGAATGCATTTTAAATTTTTGCTTTAGCCCACGAGAATGAAACCAGGACGGTTTGGGAACACGCTCAGTATCGGTCTGCACATTCAGGTACGTTAGTGAATGCAAGACACTTCCATAGATGGCAGTTTCCTTCAGGGTGACAGACTTTAAGAAGATGTTGTGTGTTTATCCGTGCAGCTGAATGAGGCCTTATGTGCCAGCTCGCCTGATCTGGCGAGTCCGTGTGAATATCAGTCCCCCGTCGACTCCATGAACACTCTGACGCTGCCGGTCAGGTCCCCTCGCCGTCGCAGCATGGGGGTAAGAAACACTCACATTAAAAGGTCGAAGGTTCTGTTTGTGTGTCAGATTTCTAACTGTACATAAACCTATAACACTAAACCACCACCTTCATTAAGTATAACCTCGTGCATCAGAAAATAAAATGTTAAATATTGTGTGGTATTAGCTCCCCTATGACATTTTCTTTGATCCTCTGATTACAGGAGAACGAGTTTCCCCGTTTGGAACCAAACAGCAAGGAGGACGCCCAGCGCCTGTGGCAGAGGGAGAAGAGGAGCATGCATGACACCCTCCGCCAGCAGAAAGCGCAGATGATGGAGGATGAAGTGTGGCTGCAGAAAAAGGAGAAACTCCTGGTGGGAAACAGAGCATCATTAACTTTTGTCAACCCCCTCTCTGTATCTCTGTATCCCCACGCTCCAGAAATCCACGTGGCCCTGACGGCTAAATTTATTGCGGCAGCGTTAAACGATACCAACCTGCTCGTTCCTTCTCGATGCCTCGCTAGTTTTGAAATTAATGTCCCTCTGATAAAAGTTCCAAAGAGAAGGTCCACGTCCATAATCGTTAAAATGAACATGCATGTTCTTTTGCAGGACCCCATGGGACCAGATGATCCCACCAGCCCAGCGGTAGGTGACTGCAGCTATACACAATATGATTTCAATGATATTAAAGGAAGAATCAATTTTAGTTGAAATATTAACAATGATTTTTGGGTGAAGTTTTAAATACCGTGGTACTAATAGTACTTCTGGAATTTTCTTTGGTGGCATATTCATCTCATTTATTCCCAGTGACCAGGTGTACACAGGCTACAGCAGTTATTTAGTTTTCAAGACATTTTTTAGTTACAATGAAGTTAGAAAAAACTAAGTTGAATAAAACTTCTGCAAGAAACAACAGTTTTACATTAGTATATGATATCATTTATATTTGATATAAAACTTTTAAATATGAAAAGGTTTTTTTTCCTCTAGTGATAACAAAAAATATTTTTTTGCAACTTTCAAGTTACAAATGAACAACAAATCAGCGTTTTTTTATTTTTATTTTGAGGTGAGGTTTGTCAAACTCTGGGCATTCTGGTAAATGTAGAAATCTACATGGATAGATCAGAAACAATCAGAAATGTAAAAGGGTATTTGCAGTAAATTGACTGATAGACTGTTCCTTTAGGATTTTTATTCCTATATACATTTTTTATCGTGTGGAATCTATATAAAATCTGATAGCAAATTAGTTCTTCCTTTATTTACTCAGATTATCTTTTTGCACCATTGTCTACATAACGTGAGCTGTCGATTTATTTTCTGGTCCTCATGGGATTTTTCTTTGTCATTTCTCATTAGTATGTTGAAGAGGACACATCAAATGGCAAGTGCTTAAAGAAATTTACAAATCCACGTTAAATGAATTCTGAAGACTGATTATCTCTCTCCTAATCCTCCTGTCTTTCTCTTCTTTCTCTCTGTCTCTTATAATGTTCATCTTTATGCCTCACAGCACCGCCAGAGAAGCCCCCACGGCTCACAGCGCAGGTTATTATATAATTCTTTATCATTAACTTTTAATCTCATTTATTAGGTTTGATTTCTATATAAAAAGAATTTATAATGAACTTTTTGAGACCTTTAAAAAAGTTTACCCCTGAGGTTGAAGTGCACCTGTCACATGTCAAGTATTTGTAATAGTGTCCAGTTTAAACGCATTATACCCTTTTTTAGGCTGCGCCCACGGCTGAACTGGACCGCTCTGATGACAAAGTGTATAAATCCGTCATGGACGTGGTCAAAGTTGTCGTTCAACTCAAGAATGACATCACTGAACTGGGGTCAGATGAATACATCACCATTGTCAAGGTACAATTCTGTTTTTGCTTCATTTCTTTGCATTTGATTTTTTATAGACATATCCAAGGATTATAAATTCTGCCCATCGTGACTTAATCATGTGATTCATTCTCTGCATTGATTTCTGCCCTCAGTCAGCAGGGATGGCTTTACGAGATCTGATTGGCAGTGTGGATGACATACTGCCCACCCTACACGAGTCTAACAGGACTGAGGTAAACTTTATCATCTGCTTCTTGTTTGCTCTATTTACTCATCTCTCCTCTTCCTGTGTTTCTTTCCTTCATGTTGGTCCTTTTGATTGTACCTGAAACTAAAAGTGGCAAGAAACCACTTCAAACAATTAAATGCAATGGATAAAAAACTACCCTTTAAAGGTTCAGTGTGTAGAATCTAGTGACATCTAGTGGTGAAGTTGCTTGTTGCACCTCACCTCACCCTCCTCTTCCAAACATGACCTGAGTATTTTATAGTCAATCTCTGCCAATAGATCCCTTTCACTTAAATAGTACATACTGGACCTTCAATATTTGTATTTCTGATTCACTGAAACACACTTTTATCAATTTATAGGGTATAGAAATGTATAATACAATTCAATTAACTGCAGCTAATATGCTCTAAAGGTGGGAAAACTGTTGTAACTCCACTGTGTGTTTACCGTTGCCGCAGATCGAGGGCACCCAGAAGCTGCTGAACAACGACATGGCGGAGCTGATCAGTAAGATGCGTCTGGCCCAGCAGAACGCCATCACCTCTTTGAAGGAGGAGTGTAAGAAACAGTTGCTGGCTGCAGCACACACTCTGGCTATGGACAGCAAGAACATGTTGGATGCCGTGGACCAGGCAAGAGTCAGGGCCAACTTAGCCAAGCCAGTGGCCCCCTAGTGGACTGTAAAACCTTCTCGTTCAGTTTAAATCAGACTCTCTTTTAACCTGTCAGACATTTGCACACAGTCAAACATTTCCTTTTTGATGAAATCTGCCTTTCGCAGTTCTCTCATTCATCATGCTGTAAATGTATGTTGTTGAATTTAAATGTATAGTGGTAGAACGTGGGCTAACTTTGAGTGTATATATTGAAATGGGTGATTTATAGGGTAGTCTACAGGCGCTATATTTTGGATACGTTATTTTAAACTATAATTGTTTGTGTCTGGTGAGTTATTGATTTAATTGCTCGCTCAGAAATTGAAACATCCTTGTAAATATAAAACACGTCTTCTGAAATATACTGTAGTTTTTAATGTTTTACTCTTTTAAAGATAGATGTTAATAGCTGCATGTGTGAAGAGTAAAGATAAAGAGACAAAAGGTTTGTCAGCTCGATGTGTCTCGACTCATCATTTTGAAATCATGAGCATTTTATATATATATATATATATATATGTAAATTATGTTGAAGACTTGAATAATGATTTGTCAAATGAACATTATGCTCAACTTGAAATATCAAGTCTTAATATTACACCATTAAAACATATCAGAAAATATGAAATTCTAGCACATAATTCAAATGATATAAAATAAATATAATGATATATACTGCTGTACTTCAATGTCTGTTCATTGTATCAAGTATTTAATTCAGAAAGGTTTGCATTCATTATCTTTCTGTGCTTATTTGGATCAACTGGAATTAGTTTTTATGAATAACAGATTAAGAACAGCTCAAAACAAACAGAATTTATTATAAGCACTGACTTAGTCTTCGCTTCAAACTATTTTATAGACACATTAAAGGCATAACCTGTACAGTAAGGTAATGTAATCCCATGCAGCAACATAAAAACACTTAGACTCTGAAATTACCACAAAGTTGAATCAGCTCATGTAGAGGAATATGCATCACAAAAGTTAAATGGCTGTTAAATTGAATTGTCGTACATGATATCACACAGGTTCTGATTTAATTGTTCTCCCTGCTGCACTTTGTGTGTATCAACATTTGTGTGTTTCAGCATACAGTACATAAATATAGACAGTAGAGATAGTCGTCAGTGCACAGAAAGTTGAGCTTGAAGACTTTTGTATATTTTTTAAAAACTTGAATATATATGGTAAAAATGAAATGTCAGGAAGAAAGTGTCATTCATGCTTCTGGCTGAAATACGATGGTGTGCAAACAGTGCTCATTTGCACTCAATAAATGCCATGACAGGCCTTTCAACAGTGTTCATCATGGTATTTATTAAATTTAAAAAACAAAGTCCAGTCAGTATCTATTACAAGAAAACGTTGGTTCAATTATCAAAACCAAAGGGAGTTTAATGTCGTCCCACTTTGTGTTGAAAGAGGTTCATGACTCATCCAAGTATTTCTTGGCTCAAACATAATTTCTCATTGAGCATCAACAACAGAATTTCTTGTCCCCTCAGTTCAAGGCTGAAAACTTCTAAAAGTACTGCATGTAATCCTTTTAACTACTGCTGCAGACCAGTACTGTGGAGAGTATTTGGAAAACTGCTGTCTTATGTCATTCAATATGCAGTCTCGTTGCACGTAACCGTAGCATTAGTTATACGTGTCGACTATGAATGTTGGGGCTTGCTGTAACTTGGATGACACCACATGAGCAGTATGGAGGCATGTTATGTTTTTTCTGTTTTATTACGTCTGAAGAAGAGGACACCATTGACATTGGATTCTGCTGCAACAAAGTTTACCTTCCACAACTCCGGGAGTGTTTTGTGGACTCAAACCAACACCCACCCCTCCATCGGCATAGTGGTGAGTAGATAAAGAGTGAATTTAAATTTTTCAGTGAACTATCACTTTAACTCTGAAGTACTATTCATACACATGTGTATGTAGAGATTAACCCCAGTGACCTCGAGCGATCTGTGGTCTGAGACAGAAGTAGTGGTACTTATAGACTTCCTTACACACAACTCCAAACAAAACCCAGAGATTCCTGCATGTACCAGGGGCTATCATCTAAGAAGAAATATATTTGGATTTACAGGGAGCCACTAAACAGTTTTACATTTTCCCGATCTTGATTTGGTGGTGTGTAGTCATGAGCTGATGAGACCACACACTGCGCTTTAGGTGTTACACAAACTTCAGATTTGGCCCTGAATGTCAAACATCACTCAAGTGAAGGTGGTTGTGGGTTTGAACTTTTCTTTCTCTCAAGCACTAGATCATGCCGGCAAGCCAGGGCGGCAGGAAGAGGCCGATGGTCCCAAGCAGGCAAACAATTATGAACATCCACAAGAAGATGCGATCAATGACCATAGCGACGTACTTCCAGTCCTCCTTCACCTGAGTGGAGGTAAACAGAGAAAGCAAGGAATTAAATAAAACAGGGGTAAATATGAACCTTATTTGAAAGATAGGTTAAGGAGTACTGTATTCCTGTATTTGTCTCTTCATATCAGTATACAATAATATCTAAGACGTCCATTGAGTTGTTTGTACTAAGTCCAGGTCCAGGAACAGATACTTGTTATATGGGTGCCGGTGAACCTACTGTTCTCTACGTTCAAGGAAATCTTCATGAATGAGGCCTTATACTCACACAAGGAGACAATACTGTTTGTAATTGAGAAGGATGGACCATGATAGATGCTGATACTCACACTGAAGTCAGCGTCCTCAGCTCTCAGGTGGTCTGCAATGTAGTGCACCCCTTCTAATGCTCGCACAACACTGGGTGAAAGCAGGAATGTGGAGTCTGATACAGTGTTTTCTACTTTGGTCGGCCTCTGAGTAGGATTGACTCTGACCCCTGTTGACTGTCTGTTAGTGCCTCCGGCTGCTTCCTGTCGGTTCTGGCTGTTCTGTGGGGTTTTCTTTTGCTGAGGAGGAGTCGACCCCGGAGGTCTGGGTGATGGAGGACGGAAGGAAAAATACGAAGTCAGCGTTCCCAGCTCTAAATCCTCATAACAGCTTCGGTCAGGATCGTTGGACGTGGTTCCGTCCCTCAACCAGTTAGCCGAAGTGCTGAGGCAGTTGCCAGATTTGTACCCAGCTAGCCGAACCTGCCGCCGCACCGCAGCTGCCTCCTGCTGTAGCAGCAACAGCCTGCGTCGCCGTCCGTCTGGCGCAGGCCGGCGCATGAACAGCCAGCGGGGGATTAGGTCCAGGAACACCGAGTGGACCCAGCGGGGCATCTTGTGAGTGCTGGGAGAGCGATGGTGCACATTGAGCACAAAGACGGTGATGACAATGGACAAGGTGACAAAAATCATGGTGAAGAGGAGGTACTCGCCGATCAGGGGGATGACGAGGGATGTTGAGGGTATGATCTCCGTGATGAGGAGGAGGAAGACAGTGAGGGACAGTAGCACAGAGATGCACAGGGTGATCTTCTCACCACAGTCTGAGGGCAGATAGAAAACCAAGACAGTGAGGCAGGAGATCAGCAAACAGGGGATGATGAGGTTGATGGTGTAAAACAAGGGAAGCCTTCGGATGATGAAGAAGTAGGTGATGTCCGGGTAGATCTCATGGCAGCAGTCGTATTTCTTTGTATTGTACGTCCCCACGGCATTGATGATGGCCCACTCGCCGCTCTCCCAGTAGTTGTTTAGATCCACCGTGTTCTCAATACGCTCCAGGTCAATCTTGGCCTTATCATAGGTCCAGGAGCCAAACTTCATTTTGCAGTTCTGCTGGTCAAAAGGGAAGAAGGTGACGTCGATGCTGCAGGAGCTCTTGTAAATGGCGGGAGGGACCCAGCGAACTTTACCCGTGTGGAACAGGTGAGCTTTGGTCATGTGAGTCACAGCAAACTCACCGTCTGCACTGGAAAACAGAAGTGGACACATGAGTGATGGTGACAGAAAATTTGAGACCTTGGTTTTAAAGTTTTAAAGGCTGCAGAAACCATCCATTGAAAAATTGTTATGATTTCGCTTGTAATAATAATCCTCTGCAGAAATATCCCCCTCCATTCATCGCTTTAATGGCGTTATAGCATCAGCTGAAGACTTAATAATGAGTCCTTAACATTTCATCAGCCTGGCACCTTTTCTAATTTCACTCACAGATTGTGATTACACAGGCTCCACCGAGCAGAACCCCACCACCAACCCTCGCTGATTAATCTCCATGAGGTGAATTCAGGAGAAGTGAGCGGGTTGTGGTCAAAGTACTACATTTCACAGTACAGCAGATTTCACACTTAAGCCATTCATGTGTATACGTTGACTTTATATTCACATAAATGGATTGGACCAAATAAGTTGTAGGCACAGAAAAAATATTATATAAGCAGAATGTATTTTTGGGGCCACTAGATGGCACCATCCTCTCACCAGATTGCTTTCAGTCACCAGATTAGACAGTTGTTGGACGTCTGACCTTATCAACACAATAAACATGTATAGTCGCCTGGTCCTGATTAAAAAAATTAACTATTATGTCATTCTTGTGTTAAGCAATGCTGTATAGATTAGTCAATTAATCAATACATTGATTGAAAGAAAATAAATTGGCAATCATTTATCATTTAACCAAAAATCAATCTCTTGGCCACAATTCTCAAATATGATGGTTGATTTTCTTTCATAATAAATTGAAAGGGTGCGATGGCCTTTCCTATTTTCTAACATTTTCAGTGATGAACGATTATTCCCTCAATCGACAGAATAATCTGCAGATTGGAGGTTGCAGCCCTGATTTTAAGATTTTGTTTTTTTAACTGTAACCTTCACTTACTTGTTATAGAGGACAATGTCTGGTACCCATATGAGCTCTGACGGCACTCTGATGGACGTCACGTTGTCATAGTCAGACGGTCTCCAGCTGAGCTTGTAGTCGTTCCACTCCTGGAGAAACGAACAGCAGAAGTGATTTTGCTGTTATTCTTTATTTAAATGTCATTTGACTGATTCACGTCTCCAGAAATGTCACATTTCTATTTATTATTTTATATAATCACATCCCCTGTTAGAGAAAAAAATCTTAATCTTAATAAACATTGACACATCTTTTATTTTCTAACCTGTTTAAGCCACACGTTGGTTGTCATCATCTGGTTCTTCTCATCCTGACAGACAGACACAGAGAGGGAGAGTTTGTCAGTTTGAGGTGCAGAACAGACAAATGTGTGTGAGAGGTTTCTGGAGGATTGTCAGAGATGATCCAGATACAGCTCGCAGCAACTGTCAAGTGATCTGGAAGTTTTAGTTGTGACATGGGTGAGGTGCATCATCTAGTTTTCCAAAGTTTGTTTTTGATTTTGTAGATAAATCATATATCCTTCCTTTTCCCAAATATAGAGTGAATAAGTATGAATAATTTTAATAAAATTCATTAAAAGTTGTAGAAATAGGTTATTGCACTTAAAAAATACAAAAGTCTGTCTTCTACTTAGTTTGACCTTGAAATATTACATGTTATTCCACTGTAAACTAAATTCATGTAAATAAAAATATACATTTTCTATGGTGGCCCAAAGGGCTCAGACGCACAGCACCTACACACAACACAACCAAATGCAGAGACACACAGATGATTCCAGGGGATTTATAAAATTGACTAATCTTCGAGCTCATTTAAAAACGTTGTCGTCTGTGCCACTTGTAGTAAGTTTATATATTTGGTTGTGTTGCATGTTTTTCAGAATGCTTTCCTATTTAAATGAATTGATGAATGTATGTTTTATTCACTTTATTGTGTGTTTCCTTCAGTCACACTGTGTTGAGCTCTTCGGGCCACTTTCGTTACAGATTAAACAAACATTGAAAGAGGGAATAACCTTATTATGAGGACATTTATGTGTACTGAAATACTGTGTAAGAGCTTGTGTTGACTCACCACGTCAATGAGCTGAGCGATGGACAGTCCGAACTTGACAATGACCACGTCAGAGATGTTGGGCACAGGTCTCGACCACTTGTTGTATCCGGCGAACAGCGTCTTGAAGAGATCATCCTCAGCGTGAGTGTGCGTTTTGTCATAACCGAGAACTGTGGACACAGAATTATTAAATACTTATCAGTCTCTCTTTTAAATAGAGCTGGGTGATAAAACAATGTAAATAATTATCACATGTCACTCTCTGGCCATTAGAAAGACTTAAAGACCACAACCGTCACTCAGGAGCAAATAGTCTTAAACTTAAAAGAAATAATAATGTGACATTTATAGTGATATATATTTTTTTCCATATTGTCCATCCACAACACATACATTCAGTGCTCCACACAACAAACAGCAGTAAAACATTGTGTGTGTGTGTGTGTGTGTGTGTGTTATCTTGTGTTTCTGCATGTTATTGACTTTTCCACATCGTAGCAAATCTTTCTGATCTCTTGATCTGAGCTCCCTATGAGGGGTCGCCTGCAGGAAGTCTCTCCTCTCCCTCGACACCAACACCATTTCAACAGTAACCTCCCTCTTTATCCCTTAAGTGTTATTGTGGCTTCTTTGCGAGAGGTGCCTTTTCAAATAGATTTTGTGAACCAGCTCTGACTCGAGTCCCTGTGTTATTTCCCTGCGGAATAAAAAACAGGCCGGTCCCTCTGGGATTACAGCTTCCACCTTCATCAGTGTCGTCAGAGTCAATTACACACATCGTTACTTGCTGCTGGTGTTAAGTGGAGGTGAGCTAATTTCTCAGTAGTCGAGGGTGTTTACTGTCGAGCTGCCTGTCACTCTGTTACAACCGATGCATAAAACAATTAACCGACACTTTTCACTTGAAGCAGAGAATGTTGACAGTATGTGTTCACATCTGTGTATGTATATACATATATATATATATATATACTACAACTCAACTGATACTGGATGTTAAGAATACGTTTCTCGACTGAGATGTACAGCTCAAGTTTTATTGGGAAACTATAAACCCAGTGGATTTATCGGTCAGACTTTGGTGTGTACTGTGTGGAGTATTTGGATTGTCATTAGTCTCTTTCTCTTGTTTAAACAGAAAAGAACAGAACAGCTCAATATATCAAAATAATAGAAGACAAACTAGAAGAGAAGATACTTTACTGTCATATCAATAAACATGAGAATACAGCGTCAGCTTGTTAGTTTGGCTTAATAAAGACACGAGGGAAGCAGCCACCCTGGCCTCCTGAAGGTAAACATGTAATCTGTCATTAGATTCTCACTAGTGACCTTGTTGACTAAATATCTTGTTTGTTTCATCGACAATTGGCTATTTAATGAAAAGTTATATGCAACAAAATCCTGTAAAGTTTGTCTATTTTACTCTAAAAGTTTCTGATCTAAGAAATGTAAGTCTACGTTATTGTCCCTCTGTATTCATCAATAATATTTTTAAATATTAATTGTTTCTAAATTACACTTAAAGACTTAAACAGGTAAAACTTAAGCGACTCAAACTCCTTTTGTCACCAAAGACTCTCCCAGCTGTCTCACTACACCTTCGTCCATTAGTTAGAGGGTATTTCCCCTAAACGCCTTACAAGCTGATTATTGGTAGATGTTAGAAAAGCACAACTTAGTTACAACCCAGAGAAGTATGTGGTTAAAAAGTTAGTGTGGGAAAAGGCCTTAGGTTGGAACTGAAGGAGTTTATTAACCTGGGCAGGCCTTAATATATCAGTGAAGAAGAGCCTGGGAATCATACTTTTTACAAATGGATCAAACTTGTTGCCTATTTACAGAAAGGAAACTTCTCTCTAGCGTTTTATAAAAACATGGAGGCATCACATCAAAATCAAAGCACATAAATCCATACCAGGAAAAAATCTGCCATTCAAATGCCATCAGCAGCCCACTCCCCCCTGTAAGCTCTGTTTGGCTTCACAGTGTGTATACCGCTGCCCAATGAAGTGTGCTGCCATCAAGGATCCCAAAACGAGACCTTGAACCACCTGCATGTGGCAGCAGTCATGGTTGCTTGATCAAGGCCACATCATTAGCTGTCCGTGGGTGAGTTGTAGTTCTGGAGCCAACAATGACGAGTCCTTACAACCTATAACTGTTGGACAGACCAGTGGAGGGGAGCCGGGATGGTCCGGCAGAGGATGCTGCACAGAGCTATCACCAGAGGGATGCATGCAAATCTACTTGATGATTTATGGCCCATGATAACCGGTTGGCTCCAGTATGCCAATGAAAAGCTCAAGAGCATTCGTCCATCTGGCAATTTTGTCTTGAAAAATGTGTGCAGAGTTTTTAGGCAAACATATTTTAGGAGTATTAGATATTCTACATGGTAAATAGTATGCGAGTTCACTGTTAATTTGCCCAGAGTACACCTGGGCTCACCTCCTGCAATCATGAACTAATTTCCTCCTGGCAAACAAGCGTGCACCAGAGACTTCTTATCTGCCCTCTTGACAGTCAGGGTGCTGCATGCTCATCTGTCGGTGCATCTGGGAAAGGACCAGATATGGAGCTTGGGAAAAAAAAAAGTGGGGGGGGGGCATAGATCAAAGCCTCCTGCCAGCGGAGACTTCAAATGACAGCTCCCGACCATCCAGCACACTGTGGGGCCGTGGATGTTGGAGCGTGGCCAAGCTCCCCTTTGGCGAGGTTGTATAAAACACTGACCGGTTTGGGTGATCGAGTCAGCAGCTTCTCGGGCCAGAGACACTCTTGGCAAAATTGTGCTGTCAGGTACTTAAAGTTCATTGAAAAAAAAAAAAAAGAAAAGAAAAACATGCAACAATTTCCAGGGAGTTGGGTAAAAACTGCAAACGAGACATGAACTCTGTCAGAGGCGTTAAGAGAAGCACTGGCACGAGATCAAGAACCAGCACATTGGACTCGTGTAGCATGAAGAGATGGAGCCAGAGGCCGTGTTACCTTACACATCTGAGGGACGACTGGTTTGTGCACAAAATCCTTGTTTGCATATGAAAATACATTAAACCAGGTATACCGTCTATATCCATATGGTGACTCTAGAATCGACTTCCTGCACCAACTTTTAATATCTCGCTTGATGGATTCAAGGTTGAAATGAACTACAGGCACTGTTTCTTGTGTACCTACTCAGGAGGTAGAGAGGGTCATCCACAGATGAGAAGGTCGGCAGTTCAATCCCAATCTCCGTCATTACACGTACCAAAGTGTCCTCGGGCAAGACACTGAACCTCAAATTGCCCCTGACGGCTGTGCGAATAGTGTGAGTGATGCGTGACAGTGCTACATATAGATGAACAGTATGAATGTGTGTGAATGGGTGATGGGCAAAAACACCTTCAGAGGTCATCAAGTATAGAAATTGCTTTAAATACAGGCCACAAATTTACAGATTCCACAAATATGTCCAGAAAAGATGTTGAAAAAAAACAATATTCTTATAATAAAGTGAATGTTATTCATTCTTACTCTGCATTCTGACAATAAACATACATTTTGGTCTTGTGAGAAGATAAATAAGGCGCCTTTTGTAGCATATTGTGTGAAATATTTTTTCTGGAACTTGAAGTACAGTGCTTCTATTCAACAGTTTCTGAATTTTGAAGGACAAAGGATCCTGAGTTAACTCTCTGTTGTGGAGGAGAAAGATGTCTTCTTCAATTTAAATGGAGTGGAAATTAACTTGCACTGCACAATTTATGCAGAGGGACAAAGTTACCTGATGGTGGGACTCAAATACAAACCATACCTTTGCACATGAGACATTAGAAGAGCTTTATAGGAAGATTGAAAGGCAGGTTACTACTTTTTTATATTTTCCTTTTAATGTCTGCAGAAAATTCAGCTCTCACAGAGACAGACTTGGCACAATGCTCAGCCCTTGACGTCATATTTCGGTTTTCCTGAGTTCCACACGTTGTCAGCATGTTGCTGGCTTTTACGCACGGGGAAAAGCGCACAGGAGGAAATCTTTGAGGAAAGTACTGACCTGATGGGAAGAGCAGGATCGACCACACTGCAGCCATCCTCCAGGAGAACAGGTGGTTGTATGGATGCATCTTTACCTCCAGCAGAGACGAGTCCAACTTCCTCGGTGGTGCTCCCATGCTGCCACACGTTACCTCGACATCTTGATGTGTGAGCAGAGTCCGTCATCTTCGCAGCAGGGAGGCATGACAACTTCACCGCTGCTGCCACGGGAGGAGGAGGATGAGAGTGCGGTGATGATCTTTCAGGATAACTTTACCGTCTCTTTCCTCTGGAGCTCAGCACCGACAGACGGTCACCCTGCTCACTTCCAGCACCGCGCACTGAGGACGACAGCGTCTGCTGCACCTTCAGGTTTCGCGCACTGAGCCGGAGAACTATCCATCGGTCGGTGCTTATCCTGGAAGCTGCAGCGTGACACAGTAGCTCAGACCAAGGTCATTTTGAAAACTGTAAGCAGCACATTGGTCCACTGAACCACAGTCCAAAGCTTTTGCGTTGCTGCTGCGTAATATATTCGGTTTATCCACCTTTTAGCGCACGGTGCCAAGGATTTACGCATTGGTCTAACTTATTGATATCCATTAAATGTTTTCAATTTGAGTTCTTCCTCATGATTAGAAGCTTTGTTAATGACCACTCTGGCTCAGTAGGTCAGAAAAACAGCTCATCATCCTCCCAGAGAGACACAGCCACAGATGAGTGTTCCCCGTCTCTTCCTCTTGTGCTAACAACAGTCCATCCTCCTCCTCCTCCTCCTGTATCTCTCTCTCTCTTTCTCTCTCTCTCTCTCTCTCTCTGTCTCTCTCTCTCTCTCTCTGTCTCTCTCTCTCTCTCTCTCTCTCTCTCTCTCTCACACACACACAGTCAGGTCTCTTTGGCTTCAGAGGACATTTATCACCTGAAGACCCTAAATCTAACTAGTCTTAATGTTAAAACGTGTCTTCAACTCAAAATGTGATGATTTACATTAAGGGGACTTGATTTTGACAATTCACATCTTACCCCTAACCTGGACCATTTTAACTAAATGCCTAACCCTGACTCTCAAATTAACCCAAACCTTCACGTATTTCTAACCCTGTCATGCTGCACAAACATGACACGAAATCACAACAGAACACATCTTTGAGCTTCCAAATAAGTAAACAATTGGCTAATGTATTGTTCGTTGCTGTTTATTATACATACTTCATATAATGTAAAAAGTCATATTATTACACATTTTATCGTTAAATATATCAACACATTCCTTCTCATGACTCATCTCAGGGTTAAAGAGAAAATAGTGATGAGTAGTGGCACTTTATCTGACTTTTTAAAATCCAACAAATACACAATGTGCATATTCAAAGTTGCTTATAGTCTTATATTTAATTCTTCCTGAGGACAGGAGCCGTCTCATCATTTATACAATCGTGTCCATCAACCACAGGTATAGTTTGCACAGTTTCCTCCAAACACAGATATCCTTGACCCTGTGGTTTTCTTGTTTTGTTGTTGCAAAAACAAAACCCCCATTGAAACACACTCGTCATCTTAAGCATATCCCGACCTCCATCCTCAACCTTGAAACAGATGGCCGACCCATAGCTTCCTCTGGAGAAGACTAACAGTCATTATGTTTGCTCTCTGAAGGCCAATCTGGTTTGATCCATAAACACATTTAACTTTGCTCAAAGCTGCAGTCACATACTGCTGCCATGTTTGACCTCAGGAATAAACCTGGATGGAAAATAATTGGGTGGATTTTATGGGTTATAAGCTTCTGTGAAATAAAAAAAATGTAGAATCTTAAACTTGATGAAATGGCCAACCTTGACAAATCATTGTATCTCAGTGTTGCAAAATAACTTATAAAATTGAAGGAAGGTTTATTTTCAGTTTATTGAGTCTCACACAGGATATCAAATGTCATCCAGAAAGTTAGAGGACGAAATGTTTTAAAGCCGTGTCAACACTTCCTTAGCGATGGATTTTGATGATGTCTTTTAACTGCTGGGTGAATGAGGCTTGCAGGGCCTGCGATGAGATCTCCAGCCTGTTGGCGATGTCTGCTGCAGCACGTAACATGTCCTCGAAAGCTGAGGTCTCTTCTCTGATTCTGCTCCGGACGAACAAAGACACAGGTCACCAGGTGGAGAGAAAGGGAGCAAAGCACAGGGTCAGAAGTGCAGAAAGAGAGCTGAGGATGATTTATACATTATAAGAGGAGTGAGTAGCTTCTAAAGCTGTCAAGTTATGTTGTCCTGTCCATTTGTTGGCTGGTTTGTTTAGATTTTTGTAAACAGGATTACGCAATAAACATTGGATGCAATAGGCAGATTTCCATGAAACTTGCTGGAAGGATGTCATATTTGTCAGGGAACTTTGGTGAGGATCCAAATTGGGAGGCAGATCCAGGAATTTATTTCACTTTCTTTAACATTAGGGCATTTTTCAACATTGAATTAGATTTTTCAGAGAACTGGAAAGGCTCAGAGTGTATACCTCCGCCAAGGCTCAACCAGATTTAAATTCACTCGATTTGGATTTTTACTTGGATTTGCACCAAATTGCGCACATTCGTAAATATTACTCCCTACACGTGGGTGTTTTTTTTATCACGATGGATGAAGAAAAATGCCCCATCTTATAATGTTAATCTATAACTCCTAGATCCACCCCCAAATCGCATGCTTATGAAAATTTTGCCTAGCTTTTTTCCAACTCATATCACATCCTTATATTAGGTTTCGTAACAATCTGCCTGTTTTTGTGTAACCTTGCTCACAAACAACCAAACTAAGAAACAAACAGATGGGTGAAAACATAACCTCCTTAGTGATGGTAATCATTTATGGATCTTAATGAAAAAAACCTGGCATGTTTAGGGGCAGCTACAGTTTGAAATGTTTATTGCAGCAGAACATTAGAGTTTAGTTTATTGGCTCCGACTTTATCACTTCCCCAGATATTATGCAGTCTGATGAGCAGATATCTTTAACTACCTGTCGGAGCTCACAGGTGGATGCTGGGGGGGTGGAGGGGCTGAATCGACAGGCAGTGATACTGATGCAGGGCAGCAGAGACGTTGACAAGCAAACGGAGAGATAGGAAATCCTTGCAAAGGACAAATTGGGAGGGTGTGTATGACAGAGGGTTGTGGAGAATGAGGCATCTCACATGATTAGAGTGCTGCAGCTTGCAAGCATCACGTAATTTATGAGTGTCTGGGATTTGGTGCAGATTCAAATAAAAATCTGGATCCAGTGAGTTTCATAAGGAGGCTGTTGGGCTTTGGCGGAGGTATGAGCTCTCCTGAGTGCCCTACTAGTTATATAATGGGGAAAAGGAAATTACAGAATTATATATAATTATGAAAAAAATCACAAACATGTATCAGGCAACAAGAATGAAAGTTTGAGATATTTTGTAAACAAAAAAACCATTTAGTGCCATGTAATGAAATATCTGTATTTGTGGACACAAATGGTCCCAAGGTCATTTATTGAAATTGCAAATGAATGTTTCTGCCTCAGACGCTTCAGACTTGTTTCAAGGGCACAGCACTGCAATTCATGTGAATTTTCAAATTCAGATATATTCCTCTCCAGGGCCACAACTAATACTGAGTTTTTATTAAAAGTTAATATGTTGATTGTTAAAATGTCAGAAAATGATGGAGTGGTTATCACACATCCCTGGAACCTGAGGAGATTTGTCATGATTCTGGTGTCGTAATCTTTTTGAGGAGACTGTTGGGGTGCGGACCCGAAGTTCTGTGTTTGGAACCAGCTGGATTTGTGTTTGTGTTATATGGCCTTTTTATGTTGTAGACTTTTGATTGTCTTTGCTGGATCTTTTGTTGGGTTTATGGATTTTGGCATTTTGGATTTTTAGTTTGCACTTTGAGTTTATAACTTCCTGTTTTATTCTGTAGTCACCACTGTCTCTTGTTTCAGAGCACTTCACTTCCTGTCTCTGTCTGGTTTCCCTCCCTTTGAGATTACCTGGCTGAGATGTCAGCTGTGTGACTTCCTCTTGGTCTTGTCAGTTCTTCTGTGTGTGAACCAGCAGAATCTTCCCAGTGTTCATTCCTTGTCTGTATTTGACCTAACTATCTCTTGACCATCCCTCTACCTGTGTGTTTTTGGAAACCTTTGCCGGATCTTGCGGCCTCCCTGTTCACCAAACCTGTAAGTCAAATTAAACACTCTGCATTGAACCATACTTGTTTGGACTCAGCATCCATGTCCATGTTTGTTACCAGTCCTGATAAAAGCAGCAAAAAGAAGGAGAAGAGAAGTGTGTGACTTTATATGTGCACCATGTACCTGTGCAATACTGTATTTGTGGACACAGATGGTCCTTAGGACACTATGCAACTGAAACTACCTCTGCCACTGCTGCATTTCAGGTGAATTACCAAAGTCTATATATTAAATTTTTGAATGAATTTGAAAGAAAAGGAATTTAGGCTATAACTAGAGTGTAGATACATCTACCAAGGCCCAAAGGTCCCCTAGCAATATTAAGGAAAAATGAAAAAAAAATCCCCGGATCAGCTTTCCTGACCTATATCACATCCTTCCACCAAGTTTAGGAGCAATGTGTCCAACATCTTTTGTGTAATCTTGTTTAAAAACAAACCAAAAACCGAACGGGTGAAACCATGACTTACTTAATATATAAATAATATAGAATTGCGAAAAGCAGCAAATCCCTCTATTTAGTTTTAGAAAGTAGCTGTAATTTATCCATATAAAATAAAAAATACCAATCAACTGCTGATCCTTTTTAGCTCCTCTTTACATTTCAGCCATCAACTTCATGAAGCTTGACACAAACATGTTTTATTTCCTGCACTCACTTCTGCATCCCAGTGAGGGCGTCCAACGTGTCTCCCATCAGCTGCTTCTCCAGATCTTCCTCAGCCTTCTCCACCACCTCGTGACACCTCTTGTGTTCCTCCTGGGTGCCGGCAATGTTCTCCTCGATCACGTCCTCGTACCTCTGATCTCCCACCTCTGCCCCCACGAACTGTGCCAAGTTCTCCATTACCGCCTCATTCCCGTGCTGAATGGCCTGTAGATAGGCCAGCTCCTCTCTCTGAGCCTTCGGCCGTCGCGCCAAAGCAGCGTTGGTGCTGAAGTAGAGGGAGCACCTGTCCGGTTGGGGCTCGTGGTGCAGCGTGGGAGATGATGATGGAAATGCTACTAATGTGTGAGAGTCATGATTGTTTTCCATCCTCACAGACTCGTCACCGGCTGCCTGCGACGTGTCGTTGGTGGACATTATGGCAGGATCAACGTCAAAGCCTGAACCCCAGTCAACATCCCCACTTTGGCAGAGTGTCGGGGTTGCCATGGACAACCAAGCCAAGATTAAGGGCATCCAACAGCGCCACATGGTGACCTGGAAGAAAGAGGAAGAGGTGAGTAGCATGGAAAAAACGTATCATGACCTTTTTGTGTAGATTGAAGTAGACATCTTAGCGTTCTGGTTTAGCAAAGACAGTCAAAATATGTAAATTGTAGAATTGCCAATAAACCGACCCTGCATGTCTTTTGACTGTGAGTACCTGTAGTAAACCCTCAACCCCATCGCTGGTGCTAACCACTGCACCACTGTGCCGCCACTATGCCTTTCAGTAACATCTTCTACAGAAGTGGATCTTAAATAATTCGTTTCTTAAATGAAAGTGACACTGACAGTTAAACTGCAGAAGTTTGCTGTAATAGCAACTTACAGTTTATCAGTAAACATTTCCTGTTCCTTGAGCCACTTTTCTTTAAAGCTTTCTTCTTTGTGAATTCTCCAGAAAAAGGTATTTACCCTGGCCAAGGGTTAGGGGTTTTTTGCCCCTTAAAAGAACTGAATGGATTACCATGAAACTTGGCAGAAGAATGTGTTATGGGTCAGGAAAGAACCCATTATATTTTGGTCTGTTTTCTCACGGAATAACTCTTGGAAAGAATCAGGCATGAGTTTCTGAAATTTGGTGAAGCTTGATGGGATTTAAGGGGATTATTGGGTCTTGGCGGAGCTATGCCCTCTACTGAGTGCTAGTTTCACAGTATTTGAGTCAGATCTAAAAACAAGTTTCTCAGTGACATTAGTTTGATGTTTAACTTCCAGGCTGTTCAGTCACACCTCATTCATATCATGTCATGAAGAAGTATCCTCAGATTTTAAAGTTAAATCTTTAATCCTGAACTTTGGCGCCTGAATTTCACCAACCACCACCCAAGTCTTGAAATTAATTTGAATCAGTTTCAATTATTAATGAGGTGGAGAGTTTAGATCACTTGTTTTTGTTTTCAAGGTATTATATAATTCTGTGGTATTTGAAGTTATTTGATTCTAAGGTCATTCTTCCATAGAAATCAACATGATGTCATTGCACTTTTCAACCCTGTCCTGTGTCTTTTCAAGCTCTCAGTTTTATAACACTGGTGATTTAGAAGTGTTGCAGAAAGTTGTGTACTGCTTGAGTTGTGGCTGTATACTGGAGAATGTCTCCCGCTCTGTGGCTTGGTCATAGGTCTGTGGATGAGTTGTGTCATGCTTGGGCTGTAAACACTGACACCCCTGTACAGCAGCGTTGCTTGTGTTGTTTCTTTGTAACTGGCAGGTTGTCTTGCGATCTTTCACATCTGTTCACCTCATAAATCCTGACAACACATGAGCGGAGCAGCTTTTGCAAAATTTCATCTCAAAGGTTTTGTTTTTCTGTTCCTCAAAGAAAACGATCCCTCCTCTGTCACTTTAATTTCACTGTACTGCAGACTCCCCAGTCATGCATCTGTATTTAAACCAGGCACCAGGCCTGGGAGGTGGAGGTACACTGCAGAGCTTTTTCTGCTGTCGGAGCAAATTCGTTTTCAAACTATTTCAACCTCTCACAGCTCAACTGAAAATCTGAGTTGGTGGGATTGAACATATTCTGTTGAGAAACAGAATGATTGCCCAATCACGCTCGCCACAAGAACTAGAACGGACACCGTAAAATTGTCCATTTATTTTAAGATGAGTTGTGGTGTGAACCAAACTCATAAAACGGCCAACTGTCGGCTGCTCTCTCTCTCTCTCCATCACTCCCTCTGTTTCTGATGACTTTAAATGGTGACCTCACATATGTTACAGCAGCTGTGAGGAGAGAAACGTTCAAACCAACAACCAATGATATTAGGGTCATTTTGTTTTAGTGAAATGTGTATTGTCACCATAGACTTTATATAAAGATGGACGATGGGACAACTCCCAAAAAAGTGAAGCCAAATCATCCTGATCGCCCCCTGGTGGCTGGCTCCGGTATAGGTGACAAATGACGTCTTTATCCTCAACAATACTCAAAGAGTTGTTACTGGAGAGCTGGTGAAGGGCACGTCCAAAAACTTTGAATGGCTCTCAAGTTATACTGTTCTTGTTTGGACGTTGATGAATGAAAACCTTCCACTCTCTCAGCCTAATGACAGAATACAGCCAAATGGAAATTCATCTCACATTTTAACTTCTCTGTGTTCAATTATCATGGCGGCAGTAAAAAGGCACAAGTCAGAGGACATCCAGTGACATTAATTCAGTGTCTAACGGCCCTGTTAACTGGAGGAACACATGCTCCTCTGCAGATCACTGATTGGCAGGAGCAGTTGCCTTTGTCTTTGGAAAATGTCTGCAGACTTTCCACGCTGGCTTCCTCTGCTTTGGTTGAAACAGTGTTGCATTAGACTCTCTGTGGTCCGTCGTGCCCTTTTTTGGCTTCACTCTGACGGCTCTCGTCAAGTGTTTTTTACAGCTGACGTTTTTTCTTTTGGCTTAAAATAGCGCGGCTGCAAGAAGGAAAGAAGCCACATACAGTATGTCCTCTTAGTAATCTCTGAAAAGAAGAGACTACATCCTTGTGTTGCGGATCTTCTTTGAGAAGATAATTGAACATATAATCTTTATTTTAAATCAATTTTCCAACAATTGTTCTAAGTTTGATGCCCTGAACAACATCAAGAAACAATTAAAACATTTTCATATCACCATCCCTGGTTTTACTTCTAATAGATTTTAATATACTATCAATAATTGTCCCACCTTGATTAAAATAAACTCCAATAATCTTCCAAATATTTTCTTGATTAAGTCATTATTTAAAAGAAAATATCAGAAAAAGTGCTGGTTTCGTACAACAATAGTCCAAAACTGGATACAATTCAATCTATAATCATAAAAGACAGATCAATCAGGCCATACTAATGGATTCATTATCTGTGTTCCATAATAAATGAGTTATATAAAGAGTAAAACTATTTAGATGTCATGTGTAGACCTTGATATTCTTCCTCAGCTGCTCCTGGTGTTTGCTCTGTGGCTGCAGCTCGGCCTTGTGGTCCCTTGTGCCTGATCTGGTGAGTTTCACAGGTGTTGCAACACGCTACCACTTCAACGTTGCCATGACAACAAAGTTTTTTGGGTAATAAGTCAAAAGAGCAAAGACTGGCCTCATAGGTTTAGTGTTTACAGACAGGTAAGTATATAATATATATATGTAATTAGATAAGTACAGTGGAGACATACATCATATAGAAACTGTACATTATATCTAAAAACACCAAAAAACAACAATTCACATAAACAGCAGTGTTTTAAAACCACCCTAATAACATAAATAACTTAAATTCCCCTATATGTGAACTCAGATTAGATTTTTCTTCTTTTCAACGGTGATAAAGTTTCATTTTCACGTTTATACTTCACCATAACTGAAAGTTTCATAAATGAAAAAACAAACTTACCCAACTCCAATGATTTTTCACTGCCCACTTCCTACCTTTTTGTAACCCGACTCAAACGACTCAGGGACAACTTTTCACAGGCACAGGGAACAAATACTCACTCAGTTTCCTTCTTCTTCATTTAAGGGGAGAAAAGAAATGCAGACACACACACACACACAGTTAAGGTTTGGCAGGAGAGCGTGGTCGCCTGTGTGCCCCTCTCTGTTGATGAGAGAGGAGGGTGGTGAGGAGGAGGGGATGTTTGCAGAAAAAGGCTGAAGCTGAATGATTTCTTTCTTTGCGGTGGAGAGAGAGGGGCTGGAAGAGGGGAGGGGGTGAGGACGGAGTGTAATCTGCTTCACATCTGTGGGCTGTGGTGGGGGACAGAGGAAGCATGGGGTATGGCGAGGGGGGGTGTTATGACCATGCTGAATTCACATTTCCTATACTTTAGGAATAGTTCCATTTAATTGTGTCTGGACTCTGCACTTAGGTAATTTAATACGTGGAAGAAAATACAAAAGCTGCTTCCAAAGCAAGACAGTAGTGAAAGACAAATAAAACTTTGTCCATTTCCAGGTTATAAGGTTGACAAAGATCCAATAATGTAGTTTGATCTAATTTTATTCATTATGTTTTCTTGGAACCACAAAATACTTAAACGCTGGTGTTAAGATCTCACAGTTCTTTCCTCCTAAATTATTATTTAAACTAACATTGGATTAGAAATGTTCTAAATTCAGTTCGGTGATCCTTCGAAAACTGTGCATTTGAATATGGTCTGTTATCTGCTCCAAGGGGATTACGTCTTCATCTGCATTGGTCTGCTGGCTCGCAGGATTCTGCAAAAAAAAAAAAAAAATGAAACAAATTTCTACCAAATTCATTTTAGTGATCTTGTAAAAAATGTTGCATTTGAATTTGGAGGCTTATTTGAAGCTAGTACTTTGTTGCCATTTATAATAATTGTTCCCAAAATGCCACTGCATTGAGGGTATAATTATCACGTCCTCTGTTTGCACGACTATGATGTAAAACAAATGTAGAAGACATCAGGAAATAGATGAAAACCAAACTAGTACATCCATGAAACGAACATGAAATAAGAATCAGATGTTTCACTGTAAATCAACAGGACAAAACAAGGATTGTTAATTTAATAAGTACATTGAAGAGAAATGTATTTTTTCAGCTCTGTTTGAAGATCACTTGTAGCTGAAAAGCCCAAATTCTGAAGGAAAGAAAAAGGGGGAAACCTTCTTGTTGGATAAACCACATGATTCAAACCACTCAACACTGTAAAGGGGTTGAGATTTGAGAGCCGAGTGTTTCGACTCTCGTGAATCTTTACAACCTTGTGTTTTCACACGATACCACTTTGCGTGTCAGATATTTATGTGTATGCCAGCAGAGGTGAAATCCCAGCTGTGTCGCTCTGTGCAGGAAAGCAAACGCGGAGACATGCAGAGATTTCCAGTGAAATGTACTTTGTGGAATTTAAATCAAAATCAATCAGTGATGACAGATACTGGAAAAGCAGGGATCAGGTTAAAACACTGTAAATGAAATAAAATACTTCTCATCTTCAACAGCCTTCAGTACACGCGCTTTACTTGTTATTGCATCATATTGGTCTATGCAAAGAAAATTGTGGGAAAATGACCATGATTAAAGTTGATTTGTGCAAAACGGCCATAAAAGACCAAACTAAAACTTAAGTACTTCCACTACAGGGTGTATTTAACGCCAAGTATAAATGTCATCTTTCTAACTTTGCTGTCCACACCTCACAGATGCTCTTGTGTCTTCAGTGCTAAATAAGCTAATAATCAACAGATTATGAAAAGATGATATCCAGAATAACGCCAGGGGCAGGTGGGCTCGCTGACAGGAAAAGAAAATATATATTTTCATCTCTTAATCTTGGATGTACAGATCCATGATGGCTGATGGCAAACAGTAATCCACAAGAGATCTCTGATTTTTATCGAACCCTTATCAAAAACCAAGCCGTAACAACACTGACAGCTCTCATGAACATTTTATCGAATCGAGGAAGAGGATTATAGATATTTTACTTCATGGATGATCAGATATCTGATCAAATATATCACTTTCAGAACTGATGTTTTTTAAAGGACACTGTATTTATTTTTTGAGTTTTCTTTGCCCTTTTAGAGTGCTTTCAAAACCAAATACACACTGTTGTTATGGTTCGCTTGTGTTTGGACCAAACCAAGTGCAGAACACATGAAATTATACAGAATGATGGGTAATTTACTTATTGGCCAGTAGACTGTTCCAAAATGTTTATGTTAAAGGTTTCATGGGTTTCTGATTTTAATTTATTCTCTTTTCTATGAAAAACTCTTTGTGCTTAAACTTGAAAAGTGCTATCTAAATAAAATGTGACATTATTATACAATAAGCATTATTAGTTGACAAATGTAAATGATAACCAATCCACAGGTAAAGACAAACAGGAGGCTTCTGTTACTTCATGCAGGCTAATGCATGTCATCAAATCAATAATCTGTAACCATTTACATTGTGTAATTTGCTAAATTGATACTCTAACACATATTTTACATGTTGATACGTGTATCAACACGTTATCTTCATATTGTGTGGGGCCAGATGGTGTTTTTCAAACACCGGCGTTAAAAGCCCTCGGCCATGTTTGGACATGCATGTAGCGTGTCCAAAACGCACCTCTTCCTCCCCCTGAAACCACAGGAAGCTCCATATGGAGCAGTTTTTCACTCGGTGTAAACAGTGTCACACAAAAACCTTGACATCCACAATGAATGTTGCATGATGTGGGCAATGGAATGCACCCGCTCTCATTGCAGGGATGCAAGAAAATGTTTGAGGGATAGCTGCTTGAGTTGTACATATGCACATGTGCACGCTGAAAATCAATCCATAATGGAGTTATGGATTTTTTTTTTGACAGTGCAGTGGCCCTGAAGTGCAACAGAAAATAAGAAAATAAGAGTCTAGTTAAATTTATATATATATATAAAACACATTTTAAACAACCACTGCCAACCAAAGTGCTAAAAAGTCTTAGAAAGTAAAAGAAAATATAATAACAATAACAATAAATACTACAAAAGCAATGAAATGTAGAACATAGTAAATAACTGAGTAGTTCTGTTGATTGCAGGTACATAACTTCTCCGTTAGAGGTTAATGCTATTGTTTTTTGTAATGTTTTATCATTTGTATTTAACTTATTTGCTATAGTGTTTTTGTGATTTGTGTTTCCTCTTTTGCTATTGTTTCTTATGTGTTTTCTTATTGTGATTAATGATGCGTTGATTTGTTTTTCTAACTTGCCCCTGTGCTTTGTGATTTATTGTTTTTATCATTTGCCGTTGATGTCAGGGCCACTGCAGTACGGTGGCTTTATGGTGGAATTAGCTTATCTAAAACATACTTTTAAAGAGCCAATTATGGAAGACACAACATATCCATATTTCATAGGGTCTCTGTTGATAATGAAGAAATAAATTGTTTCCTCTACTATGAAATATTCTAACTGAATTAATCCATATGTGTAACAACACAACATACATGTTAAAATCATGTATAACAACTTCAAATTCATCTGGCAATGCACCAGAGAGTTTATAAAATACATAGTAGATTAGACCGTGACCGTGAATCTATTGACCAAGAAACAGTTTCAGCATTTTCTAATTGACCAACAACTCGTGCAGCCACTTATCCACAGCGGCACGGCTGCACTGAGAGCCACAGTGTGCTGGTGCTGATAAACTCTGCTAATCCACTCAGGGACCCAAACACAGCTCAAGCTTTTCTTCAGCGCTCAGAACCAGCGCGCTCTACCGCTTTGCCTACGTTTGTCCTCTCGCAGCAAAGATTGAGGAGCTTCTGGGAGCAAGAGGCCGGTGTTTGCGATAACATTCACTTTAAAAAAAAAAATCTGTAATGTGTCAAATTTGTGCGCAACAATTAATAAATCTGACGCTGGAAATGTTCTGTGAAATTTAGGGCTGTTGTCAGTCGATATTCTGTAGCACTGACAAATTTCCTTCTCTTAGGGCAGCAACTCACCAGGCTGAGGTTAAATAACTATCACCAACAAAGGCCTACTAGTAAAGTCGCACTTGAACACACCACAAAGCAGCCTGCGGACAACATGCATGTGCATTCTGACGTGCCATGCACAGGAAAATGCACAGAAAAAAAAGCAACACAAACTAAATCAGTTAACTGTTCAGATTAATGAATCCATAATCTGATTAATATATCTACAGAAAAAAAGCTATTTAAATAATACATAACTACTAATTATAGTTCTTTAAAAAAAATCAGTTTTTCAACCAGTGGTCGTATCGACATAGACAGCAAAATATAATTTCACTTCAATAATGTGAATCATTCCATCAAGTCAAATGTCACTATATTTGATTCTGGTTCTTGACTGCAGCTTGGAGACTTTATAACAGCATTTAGTCTGACTCCCTGCAACTGACTGAACCAATGGAATCTCTTATGAGTGCGACACATTTTTAAAATGAGATTATAGATGCCAGTTCTACTTCCCTGCCTTGATTTAATCTTGCTCTGGCATCACTGAGTTTGTTGTAAAAAGCAAAACAAACAATCTTGTTTGCTTTCCTGCTTTTTGCAATGCAGCTTGTATTTGAGATGTATTTGGAGAGATGTGATGTTGCTGAGATTTTGTGGATCTTTGCGATTTCAAATAAAACCAATCTCATTATGCACATTAGTCACTGGGATTAGAAAAAGAGACTTTGAGGAAACAAGTACCTTTGCATATTTATTTCCCTGTTTATTTATTTACATGCAGTTTAATCCAAACCTTACCTCTTCATTGCATTACACTGACGAGTGTTTCCATGAAGTTGTCCTGATCACAAATAAGCTGTGTTTCATTATTTTAAAAAAACCAAACCCCCTAATGTCTTTCAATCGGGAAGCTGAAATGCCGTAGGTTTGATCCCTGGTGCAGTGAAAGGGCACAAGCGGTCTGGACTGTGTTATGTTTCACAACAGATGCCACCATGGAAAAAAACAACAACAACACAGTCCTTCATCCAGACCTTATTATATAAGTCAACCGGCAGGAAATGAGACGGCCTGAGGACATTGTGAACACTGATCAATCAGAATGACACTGATTTGGACCAATGGAAATACATAGTAAAGGTTCAGTGTTCTTTAACATCCCAGTTC